TGAACCAGTTGCTGCCCCCATCGAAAAAAAAGGAAGGTAGGCCTTACACGTTGTTCAAGTGTTTGCAAATTGTTTTCAACAGTTGCCCATAACCAAACATTTTTCTCTTCCAAAAATGCTTCAGTTTGTTTTCTTTCAGAGCCTGTAAGTACCTGGCAGTTGTCCCTGTGGAGGAACATCAACAGTCATAGTCCTTACAGCTTAGGCAAGCGTCTCTTGCACCCTGGTGCTGGAAACGCGGAGCCGTCGCATGCACGCAGCCCAGGGTCAGGCTCTCTGCCTCCGGACGCGCGCACAACCCGCCCCGAAGGTGACGAGGGGAGCGGGGCGTGCGTAGTGAGCACACAGGAGTGGAAGAGCGAGAGGAAGGTGCTCATGCTTCTGTCTGACACCGCGTCCCCGTGCATCCTTTAGCTAAAGGCAGGCAGGGCGCACGCCTGCCTGTGAGTTGTAGCGGGGGGATAAAGGATGTGGAACTGGTAGGTTGCCTGCCCCCTTGTCCCCATTTCATCTCAGTGAAAGCAAAGCCTTGTAAAAACAATAACCACACAGCATACACGCACCTGAATCCAGACTACTACCATCGGTCAAATGGTTTCTAAAGCATTTTGGATAGACGCTTGCTTTCGGTACTGGGGATGCCTATGTAGGGAGGATGCCGGACAAAAGGAACCATTGACTGCACCTCGAGTGGCATCATGCCCCTTAGGTCTGCAGCAGATGTTGCAGTCCTCACTTGCAACTCTTCAATGGCTTTCAGGGTTCTCCAGGGTATGTTCAGAGCATAGCACCGCGGGGATTTTCGACGCTGTCCTGACACGTTATCCAGCACCTTGAGGGGGAACTGAGCACCTTGCAGGAGGCCCTTGCTGTTCAGTCACATCACCACTCTGACCCCAAATTTCTGTTAAATCGGGGTAGGAACTCTAGTTATCTAGAGATTCGCATGTGACTTTCCATTAAGCTAAAGCCAAAGTCTTGTCTACCTACAAATATGGTGCCTTATTTTGCTGACAGAGTCAATCAGTACAGAGATTTACAATAAAAGGGAGTCAAAAGAGAAAAAGAAATGTGTTTTGAAAACCGCTTTTGATGCTGTTTCCAGCATTTATCGGAGCAAGAAAGACTCTCATTAAAACACCATTTTTTTGTTGATTTTGGATTATGGACAGGGATCTATCAAACAGAAGGTCACACGTAGCAGCCAAGGGGCTATAAAACATCTGGAATCCATGAGCCTGGTGCCTGGCCTTACTGAAAGGTGAAGAGTGATGAATTTAATTGTTGTGAGGGATCTTTCAATCTCGATTGTGGCACACAGCATTCCCTGGGGGTGTTTCTTCACCGCAGCCACATAGCTGCTACTGAAAGTTATCCCTCAGTTGGGAGCGAGGGAATACAAAGTATTCGTATGCAGTCTGCTTTTAAACACCAAGGGAGATGGAAGGTAATTAGGATAGCTTCCCTTTGGCGGGCCATTCCATATGCTAAAGTTTACCTCAGCTTCCAAATCGGGAAGGCATTATGGTGGCGGACGGACAGACAAGTTATTGGCAGCAGATGGGTGCTGAAATGAACACCAGCAGCGACTCGGAGAGCTTGGTGGAGGTACAAAACTCTGGGCACTACCTTTGCAGCTGACTGGTACTGTGAGGAAGAGAAGAGAGGTAGTTGTTATGGCTGCAAGTGTTCAAAGCAGCCTTCATGGATCTCTGAGTGAGAAATGGGAACATGTGTTTCTACGTCACATTTCCAAGACCTTTATATTTGTCACAAAACCGATCCATGTCTCACACGCGTTTTAAAACAACTGTTACACCCTTACGGTGGGCTCTTTTGATGACGGAGGGGCAGCAGCTCCAAAGCTGAAGGTTACAACCTGATCAGACAGACAAAGGCATGCAAATATAACAAATTCCTCCATTTCCTCTGGAATCCACTAGTTAGATGAAGGGGAACAAAAGTTATTCCCACAGTCAGGACATGCTAGCAGACTCCGGAGGAAATGCGGCCACCCTATAGATCAGCGCATTGGCCTGCTGGCCATTTTTATCAGGAGCCAAAATGGAAATCTTTTCTGTAGTTATTACATCGTTACTGTGTTTGATGATCTTGTTGCAATAACCACTGAGGACGGGGGAATTAATCTGACTGTACACTACTGCATAAACAAGACCAAGTTACCCTTCAGGAAAACTGGTATCAATTTTACAGGTAGAGAACAGAAACTGAAAAAGAAACATAATGAAAAAATAGATGAGGAAGAAGATGCTTTGCGTGTAAGACACTTGCACCCAGAGAATCTGAAAGAAACAGGCTTTTTTTCTGAACTTATTGTAACCCCATTCCCCATATTTAGTTTTCTCCTCGATAAGGAGCATATGAAGTTTTGCACAACTTTTGCCCAATTCTTGGAAAATATAAAATATGCCCAATATTAGTGATTCCTCTGCTATGTTATGCTTCAGACACAGATGCTGTAGTATGTCTAAATGAAAAACAAATTTGTTTCCTGTTAGCAAGTGGTCAGCAACAGCCACCTACTTTGCACATTCAGCATTTTTAAATTAAAATATTCAGCTTTAAAAACTTGTTTGATTTTCTCCCTCCAAACAAATATAGGACCTCTGTCAGCATAAATACATTTTGCTGCATTTTTGCTTCTTTTACCACTTAGCAAGTATCACAGTTCAACATAACCATTACATTCAGGGTGTCTTCCTCTTGTTTCAGACTTCAAAGACCTCCACAAACCACCATTACCTTCATTTCTTTGTTCTAAGCATCCTTAAGAGAGATTGAAAAAGTCCAGAATGGTCAGCAGCACATAAAGATCCACTTTAAAATCCAGATGCTCATAGGCTTTGCTTATTTTACAGTGAAATTAATTATATGCCACTTATTTCTGTTTTCTAACCAGCTTCCTCCTTTCCATAGCTTTCAAATACACAACACATTTTATTAATTACACAACTACTGCCTTCTGCCTACTTGTAAAATTGACTTTTTAACAAGCTGAGGGGAAAACCACATCAAACTCAATGCTGTCCTTAAGAACCTTTGCTCGTTATTGACTTTTTACCCCATGGACTTGGACACGTGAAGATGCAAGACATCGACAGATAAATCATGAAATGTTATGATCAAGAGGGTGGACAGCATAGACAGGATGTTCAACTGCAGATCTCACTGCAGTGTTGTCAGCTACCTGGTTCTCTCATCACTTGGACGCTGTGCTCAATGGGATGTGATGGATGACCGGGGTTTCAAAGGTTTCTTGTGTTTGGTTCAACTATCCCGAACAATCTGCAGTGATTATCCTGTCCTTAATGAGAGCAGAGTAGAATAACTTGAAGTACCTGACTTAGCTTGGGTGCCAGAAGCAACATAGCTATGGCATTAGGAGCCTAGCATAGACTATTAATTAACCCTACTTTTCAAGTGTGTTTTGCAGCCAAAATTGAATCCTGTTACCGTGACTAAACTGCTGCAGTTCCCCAGTTAATGAGGAAGGCTCAGCTGCTACTGCTGTGCAGACAAACCCTTACTCTTAGAGGCTAAGGCAATGGAAAGAGATAATCTTGTGCATCCTTGAGGATCAATTGGCCATACACAGACTTTGGCTTAAAAAGTTCCCTTTTGTGTTACTGTTATTTGCAGTTCTCTTCAAAACGCTTCAGCACTGGCTAGGGTGACTGTGTTCAATTCACCTTCGTTGCTGTATATGTGCTCCACTTAAAGGCAGACGAGTTGACTAAAGGTTCTTCAAACACACATGCTGAGGGCAGTTATAAAAGTCAGTTATAAAACAGCGAGATAAGGGAAAACATATTAGAGTGTTCACTGTGGTACCCTCTCTGCTTGCATCAAGGATAATCACAAAAAAAGAGTACAGAACAGCAAAACCACAGCAGGCTTTTAGCAGGGCCATTTCATATTCAGATCCATTAAGTTGAAATAAAATCAACACCACATTATCTTGCAGCAGAGAAAAGCAGCATGAAGGGCACAGGCAAGTGAACAAAACTTCTTGATCTTAGCATCTGAATGCATTTATCGAGTATGTAAAATTGTTGGCATAGATCTCTTTAAAACTGTACAAATGCACGGTACAGGCATAGCTCAACAAGAGGGAGGAATTCTGCATCCTCTCCTCTGTGTGCACGCTGCTATGTACAGTATGAGTGTGTATGAATATATATGAATTCAGGATCCTAAACTTTCCACTTGTATTGCAGGCCATCTCCTGCCCCACAGGGTGAACCCCACTGAATAACACTGAGTTCCTACAGAAAGACATTCTTTTCCTCCTGTCCAGGTGGAACAGTAAGGCCCCAGAGTGAAAATCATGGTCCAGCCAGCCTCAGCAAGTGCATGATTTCACACCATGACGGTAGGTGTATAGATACACGCACACATGTCCACACATTCATTCTGTACATATACAAAGGTACACATAGATTTTTACATTCTTTGGTGGCAAAATAATAAAAAAAAAAAACCCCAACAAACCACAGGGTTGCACAGACTGTGCACCTTTGCTTAAATGAATCTGCTTCAGGAAAACTGGGGTTGCTGTAACAGGAGTTATTTTGCCTCTTTAAGGACTGTTCCTCGCATTGACAAAATGCCATACATTTACAATGACTAAAACAGGGCACAAGGAAAGCCAACGTAAACACAGCTCACATAATGACAGATAACTCAGAGAGAGCCCCCTCCTGCCGACGTCAACACACCATGAGAAGCAGCAGCCATATGCTTTCACCTACAAGCGCTCCAACGCTTCCTCAGTTACTGTCTGGCTGTTGTGCTGGGCTGCGGCTCACCCTTCTGGCCCTGGCTGCGGGGTTTCGCTTTTTGTTGCTTATTAAAATCGAACTAACGGAGGACGGGATGTTGGGAGCAGCAGAGGAGGCTGGCAGGTCAACACCACACCGAAGGGTTGTCGGCCTGTGTGCTTCAGGTGAACGGCTCTTCTTGTCGCCACCTCTGGGACGTCAAACCTGCATCTCAGAGGTGCTGATGAGGCCCAGTGCTTTGGCTTCTTCTGGTGTCAGTCCGCTCTTTAGTGTCCTTCTCACTGGATAGTCATAAATTCCAAAAGCAGGCAAAAGAAGAAGAAAAAAAACAACAAAAAAATGCAAACAATTAGAAGTGATAATTACACAAGACTTTCAGCTGAAAGAAACCCTGTTAACATGCAAGCTGAGTCCACTCGAAAGTTGCTATGTACTCAGGGCTTCAAGTTCAGAAATACTGAGTAATACCCTATGCCAAATCCATGGGAGCATCAAGTACCCAGCAACTCCAGTCAGGCAAAAGGGCATTTGACATTTAGTCAATAAAAACTTTTAAGGAAAAATACCACAGCATTATAGGAGTGGGTTTTTTTCTCTGAAATGTCATCAACTGATTTTTCAGTCCACAGAAAGTATCATCTGCCCTATTATTTTATAGTTTCAGAAAGATTTTTTAAAAGAGCTTTTAGATTTTTACAGGGCTCCATTGAATTTATCACTATTCAATTCTATGTCACCCTTTAAAGGTGTAAAAAACCCACAAAACCCCCCAAAAGTTAAAGATTAAAAATGAGACTATTTTATAGATGATTCAGACCATTAAAACTACTGTCTTCATACACGTTCCTCTTTCTTCTGTAACGCTCCCCTGTCCTAGCCCCATTTGCATCATCTGTGCCATTAGTAGTGTGCAGCACTGTAGTTGAATTTAAATGACAAACCTAGGCCCAAATCTTGTTTCTTAGTTTTCTATGAGGTGTTCTGAACACTAGCTCCAACATAAAACTTTTAAAAATTGTGATTGCCTTTTTTATTCAGAGAGCAGTGACTATGTGACTGCACACACTGAGTATTAGTGTCCTCCTAATTTTCCTGGTGCCGTGATTTTCAGGTGGATGGGCTTTAGTTCAAGACACAAATGGGGTGTTCACTCCACACTTTGATGCTCCTCAAGTACAAAATGCACATTCAGAAGTTTAAGCTGCATGCAAAGCATAAACAATGACTTTACGTTGAACAAAATATACTCAGAGCCCCAAAATAAGGAAGTCTAGAGGAAACTCTTCAAGAAACCAATTGCAAACAGTTGTTAAGGACTTCTTGCATCGCCGTCATCTAGCACAATTAAGACCTCTAACTTGCTGAGATATTAAGTCCATGTAACTGAAACTGGGTGGTCACACTGAAGGGTCTAGCAGGAGTGAGAGGAGGGAATGGATCAGTATAGAAAACAAGAGGATAAGAGAAAGGAACAACACGGTGTGGTTGAATATTTGATACCACGCAGGTAGAACGACTTTGATCTATGTTTGATAGTGAAACCATGTTTATCAGTTACTGAGGTTAATCAAATGAGCTGGTGGTGCCACATGTGTAATTGTTCCTCCATTATCCAAGAAAGTTTTTCTTCAAGGCTCACTCCTTTCCCCTACAGTATTAGCATACCTATTAAACACCACTAGGAGTCTGCATGTCAGCCTTTTATGATATCCACTTTTTCCTACAATGCTCATCAGCAACATCTTCCAAGTTTAACAATGCATAGCTTAAAGCAGTACAAGGTAAAATGCAACTGATAAAGCTAAGATTAAGAAAGACTAAAAAAGTTCTACCAGAAGAGCAATACACCTCAAGAAATACTCTGGTCTCTATGATGCAGAATACCCAACATGGACTTTTCAGTCAGTCCTCATCACTGGCACCCTTTTATACTTCTCAAATTTGATATCCAAATGCCCACAGCGACAAATATTAATTTCTAGACAGGATGAATGAAATATCTTAGGATCTTAAGGTCTCCGTGAATCACCCAATACTTATTTCTGTATCTAAATTAACTATATCAGGAGTGAAAGAACAAATTCAAGAAAGCTGCAGCAGAAGCATTTCTGTCTTATTAAAAGCAAAGATTTTCCCGAGCAGTTCATGCGCTTAGCTGCCTGCACTGCCTCTCCCCTGAACACGTTTTTTTCTGTACCCTCTATAACATGCAGCCAAACGCAGACCATAGCTAGCTTGGCCACCAGATAGTAGAGTCATGTTAAAAAATACGTGGACAGGAGACTGAACTTTCACAGGATGGCTGTCTAGATGACATTACATCTTCCCACTGAAGTCAAAAGCGAACTGGAAAAACAAACGCAGAACAAATTTCCACACTTTAGACATGTTTGCAGAAGTATCAAACCAAACGTATCATGACCGCTCTCACACATATCCCCAATTCTCTCAGACCACAATCACTCCCTGACATTTGCAAACTGAGCTCAATAATCACTGTAAAATAAAGCTATTTTTCTTGTCAGATGGTAAGAGAGGAAGAGTGGGGGAACAAGCAATTGTTATTCCTGTTTGTAAACATTTAATAGGAACTGAGGTCCTCTGCTAATGCTGGTCATGTACTGGAATAAGCAAAATTCTGGACTTATTTATGACAATGTAAATCTGGAATACCCTTCTTTAGGTCAGTATGATTACTACTGCACAGATAATTGGGCTGAGACTCTGTCTAACAACTGAAAGGGAAATGTGTGCCTCTGTAACTCCCACCAAGAAGAATACAGTTGTTAAAATTCCTCCATCAGCCTGAGTGACAGGATTACTAGTTTACTAGGAAAAGCCAAATGCATTTACAGTAACATATAGGTCTCTCTGAAGAAAATTACAGGAGTTTATATTCAGAAGTCATAATCAGGAAATAAAATACCATGGTAGAAACCATCTTCATGGAGAAACAAGGAAGAAAACTAAGAAGTCTTCTTTACATAAGCAAGACTTCTCTCTGAATCTCCAGATGCCTACCTCTCAAACACACTGAAGTCTTAGTCTGAGGACCTCGTATATTAACCTTTGGATGACTGAAAAAAAGAAATACTGGTTGCAGCACGTGACAAGGACAAGTGCCCTGTTCTGGGTTTGCTGTATGACTCACGCAAAGGAGGCCAACACTCAATGGATTGCTGGGACATATGCGGCTGTAATTAAACAAAGCAATCTCTTTGCATCCCTCAGCTGATTGTTCTAACTTATCTCAGCTCTCCTATAATACAGAGACAGATAACTTGGATTTAAGATATTCCAGTGACCTAAGCTTTTAAGGCCAGCAGTTAGGAGAAAGAGCTACAAACAATGTAGGACTTTGGCGGTCATAATGAGATTCTCAAGAAAAGTTAATAAAAAGCAAAGATGTGAAGAATCTTTTCAGTGACAGAATGGTTCCCATAAACACTGACGGCTGCTGACTTGTATAAACTAAATGTGTGAGGCCAAATACTGCAAAGTACTGCGACTACTGGCAAGATTAAAGCTGTCCACCATCAACAGGCAATCGGAAGGGTAACAGCTGACAGAATCACGGTCCAGACTCAGATGAGTGAATTCTTGCCCCTACAATGCAACAGGCCAGCCTGACACAGATGAATCCACTTGCAGTTTGAAGTATTTTATACTTGGGGAGATGAAAGAGGCCTGATAAAGGGCCACTTTATATAAAAATTATATCTAATTTGTGCAAATTACTCTCAGTGCATTTTCTCATCTGAAGATACAGTGGATGAGTGCAGCATCGGTAGGAACATGAGAACAAGCTCCAGCCCCACTATTCCCTGCACTGGCTTGTGGACTGTGGAGGCTTGTGGGTGATGAAGCCAGGAGAAAGTTGAGTTATCTACAGGAGCAGGGACTCCTCTGGGAGGTGGGTGAACCTTGTATTGACATGCTGTTAAACAGATGTCCTCAGACACTTGTCTGTTTCCTCATACAGCGCTTGGTAGGGTTCCTCTACCTTAGGAAAGGTCATGAACATGTTTGGTCATCAAAATTGAAAGCAGAGATATATTTTCCTTCCATGTTTTATAGGCATTGCAAAATTACATTTCTCAAACTAGATCTTCACTCTCCCCTGTTCACTGAACTCTGTCGTGTCTCTAACCGGACTAGACATAATATCTTGGCTTGTAAAACTCTTGGCCTGCTGCACATCACATTAAACTGAGTTATGGAATGTATTTTGGAGGCAGTGACAATAAAAATAAGACTTTCAAATGACCTTTTATGTTCTTTAAGCAATTTTTAAAACATTTGCTAAATAAACATAGCATAGAGAGAAAATAACTTTTACTCTTGTGACAAGCAAGGCCTGCTGAGATCCCATAACCAAGAAACTAAATGTTGTTTTTCTGGGGTCAGAGGGCATGATATTCTTTGGTAATTGGGAAATCTAGAACTTTATTTGATATCCTGGCAGAATGCAGTGTGCTTATGATGAACTTGACAAATTTGACTCTGCCTGTTGGGTCAAAATCTACAGAGATATGTAGCCCTCACAGCACACTGGGAATGTTTTAAAAAACAGTAATTCCCTAAGCGTGTCTTTGTCAGTGAATATAATTATCTATGGTTTGGTTGGGTTTTTTTCAAGAGCAAATAGCATTCCTAATTTCCCCTCCCCTACTTTTTTTTTTTTTTTTTTTAAGATGGAACAAACAGTAAAGATCAGTCTGGTTGGCGCCATTTATTCTTGCATTTGCAATGGCTTTTGGCATGTGTGTCTACACTTGTATAGAGAAGCCACTTGAAACGCAGAACAGATATGACCATTCTCCTGCTCACAAGTCACAGAATTAGTGTCATTCCTATTGCAAAGATGTGGAAGCCACAGAACTTTCTTTTGAAGATGGAACAAACAGTAAAGATCAGTCTGGTTGGCGCCATTTATTCTTGCATTTGCAATGGCTTTTGGCATGTGTGTCTACACTTGTATAGAGAAGCCACTTGAAACGCAGAACAGATATGACCATTCTCCTGCTCACAAGTCACAGAATTAGTGTCATTCCTATTGCAAAGATGTGGAAGCCACAGAACTTTCTTTTGGTCCCAGCTGCAAAGGTAATGCAGCTGCTAGTTGCTGATTTGGAACGAAGAAAATTCCAGGTGGCTGCAAATTACACAGCAAGGACAGCAGGAAGGGCAGATCATAAGAGGCAACACAGGCCATCTCCGTAATTTCATCTCATTTCATTTCATGTATCTTGGTTTTACTGTCTGTTACCCATCCACACCC